AATTTATAATAAATTTTAAAAAATCTATATATGTTAGTATAAAAGAAGAAAGCAAAACGTGATTATTAAATTGTAAAAAAAAAAATTCGGGGTATAGGCAAAATGAAAAAACATAATTTAATATGTCTTTAGTTTCAACTTACAAATAACTATAAGTATCATTAAGAAAATGGGCAAGGACAATATATCCAAATTAAAAAATTAGCTCAATAATTAAAGCCAAGTTTGCCAAATGCACTGACAGTCGGCAATAACTTGGTAAGTGGAAAAATGATAGTAATGAAAATGAGAATTATGATCATCGCCCAAAACTTTGTATTAAGAGCATAAAGGCTTGGATGTTGATCACAGAAAACCGAACTCATTAGAACCATTTTTCAACTTATCACCTGTTGCTATTATTCAATTAAATTTGAAAGTTTGAAATATAAGCAGACAAATAACAATATAAACATTTTTAATTATCCTCATTTATTCAATAGTAAGTACATTAATTCCATACCGGTGATAGTTTGTTAAATACTGTTAAGATTATCAGTAACACAAATCATATCACAAAAACAATTTATAAACAGGCGACAGAAGAAATCTTTATTTTTCTTATAAAAACAAACGTCACTTAATACTTACAATAATACATAAACACTAAACCTAACTTTTCTTTCTAAAATCGTGATGCCCTACATAGTATTAACAACAGAGGAACGAAATTAAGAAAAATAGCGATACTTCAAACTGAAGAAGGTTTCACGGATAAGAGCTCATAAAGCGGGCACAGAGAGGCAACCACACACAAAAAAAAAATTAAAGATTTTAATAATTAATTTTAAAATTCAAAAATTATACATAAAAAGTTCATTTATTTATTTTAATTTGAGAGTTATAAATATTACTACATTTTAATCCAATAACTAAGACCGAAACAATAAAAAAAAAGCAAAGCCTAGTTATACCCTCCCCCCTTCTATCATTGAAGAAGTAATTTCCGTTACAAATTTAGTATTCTTGAAACGTAGTTATTAAAATGCTGAAACGAACTTCTTTTTTTTTAATATCAACTAGATTTGAATAGCATTTTCAGATTTGAATTTTACATAAACTGTTTAAGTACTACAAAAAGTGTTAGCAAAATCGGTATTTGATAGATATTAAAAACATTAATTCCATGCTCAGTAGGGTAGCCATTTTTTAATTTATTAAGAAAGTTCATTTTAAAGATACAATTGAAGAAGTTATAAAGACTTGGAGTGCAATAGCTTATATACGTCATAAAACAAAATCATTTCATAGCAAAAATAGAATTAAATCTCATGAATTCTATATGACTAGAAATTAAACTATTTTAGAAGTTATAGTTCTTTTAAACCGTTAAAAACTCAGCAATCATTGTTCAATGTTTAAAATTTAAATCCTAGCTCTATTTCCAAAGGGAAAAACGTTACTTCTGTTTTAAACATTGAAAAAAATCATCAAGAAGTACCATTATATAAAATATAAAAGTAATAATCCATATAAGTTACAAAATAAAATGAATTATACCTTTTCACCACGTAAAATTGAGACTCTGAAACTAAAGCTCAATACAGTAGCGCAAACCTGACAATAATAATTTTTTTTTTTTAAATTTTCAACACAAAATTTACTCACATCATTATAAGATATTAAATTAAATTAAATAAATAAATTCAAATATTACATAATATAAAACAGTTTGAGACATAAATTATTTTTTTATATATATAGTGTCAGCCTTTGAACATTGGAGTGCGCCCAGGCAATGTCATCCCCCCCTTAAAAAATAATTTATGTCTCAAGCTGGTTTATATTATGTAATATTTGAATTTATTTAATTCAATATTTCTCTAATACAGTTGCTTTATTAACAGGCGTTCATTTATTAATAGTCAATTTTTTTTTTTTAAGTTACAAGATGTATTTAGTATTTCATAAACTATGGGAAACACAATTATCTAACTCAACTAATAGGAAATTAGTGCTAAGCCCAACTTTTTTTGTATTTCTCTTGTTACTCATAGCACATATAAAAGATCAAAAAATAGAAACACAAACACTATCATAGAAAATCATCATTTAAATATTTGTGATTTGTGATTATTATATATATAATATATGCAAACCATACCTGCTATAGAAATATAGAGCAGAATTTGATGAGAGAGAATATTCGGTTAGGGGACTATCGTTTGGGAATAGAAGAGCAATTCCACCTTCAACTGCTGATTGTTTGGAAGAACTGAATATTGAAAGAAACCATCTGCAGAATATGGCAGAATCCATTATTTTAGACTCACTGAGAATTCTACACCACCATCTGTATTGATTCTGGACAAAAGTGCGTATTAATTCTATACTTTGTTGTGGACAAAAGTGCGAGGGAAGAAAATGAGAAAAAAGTTGTAACAGTGAATGAATGAATTATAACATTTAGTATGTTGGATGATGGTCCCATAATACTTTTTTCTATGAGTTCTCTTTTGTTAAATAGTATCGATTTTGACTGATTAGTATGCTGAGTGATTTAGCAACTCAACAAAGTTGAGCAGCAGTACAATTTATTGTGCTTTTCTTTTGTGAAATGTCTAAACACACCTTCATGTGATTAAAGAAAGATCAGAAATTTATTAATCAATGTGTTTGAAATTTTAACAAAGTTGTGTAAGATTGAATTGGGAAACTTCCATATATAAATTATAATAAACTATTAGCATTATTCTGGTAAAAAATATATACTCGACATATCAATACTAAAAATAAAGAAATATGAAAACAAATCTATAATTCCACATTATTTTATAGAAACATGAGGTCAAATAGGTTGCAATGATGCATTTTTTTTCTTCACTCCTTCCTTGCCTTTTAGGCTATACAGGGTTTTCCCAGGCCAAGGAGTGAGGGCAGGGGATTAATGCCAGAGTTAAAAGACCCATTCCGCACCAGTACTATAATTATTTTATCATCTATAACTTGTTATTAGGTTGCTGGGCACCGGGAACCTTAATCATATCAATATCACATGATAGCCACAGGATCATCAAGATATTTACAATGTATGTTTATTTATAACATATCTAATTTATAAGAATAGTGGTATAGCTAGGTCAACCAGTAGCCATTGTAAACTTCCCTATTACTGCTCTCTCTCCCCACCCTCCCCTACAATTTCATGTTATCAGCTTCCAGTCCTCCTCTCATTTTGTATTTCCCTTGGACTCGGAAACATCTAATAAACTTTTCATTTGTTCAATCTCATTTTGTATTTCCCTTGGACTCGGAAACATCTAATAAACTTTTCATTTTTTCAAAAGTACATATCTTATTTGAAATCTTTTTATTTTTATTTTTGCCTACCCCTGGATTTGTTGGGATAGTCATATCTCTCCATAGCTACATTCTTAAACAATTTTGTCTAGATCATTAATGTTTTAAGTTTCATTTTATCATTAGAGCTTCATGCCTTGTCACTTACTATGGAATTTAAGTATTGTACTTAACTTAGAAACAAAAAAAAAATTTATGGATAGAAAATGAAATATAAAAAATTTAAGATTTGTTACATAAAACCAATAAATTTTTATTACATATTTTGTAATGAAACAAAATTTAAGAAGTAATGAAAACAGAGAAAAAAAATATTTTAATATGCTATATTTGCATATATATTAAAAATGGCAGCCCTTTTTTTTTTTTTATTAATCTATAAAACAAATAGAAAATAGTAGGAAAATCGTGATATATTTTCCTGATAATCATTAAAGTAGTGCCTAAAAAAAAAATTCACAGAACAGAGAATATTACTATGTATTAGTTTCTGAAATGAAAATCTAACAAAACTTTTATTCATCAAAAGTTATAAAAACATACTTCTAAATTGAAAATGAAAAAACAAAAGATAAAAGGGGATGATGGAATGAAAACATTGAAAAATCTATACAATTTTTAATGTTTATTATAATGTAAAATACATCACTATCTCTATATGGCAACTAATAAATCTAAATTTTAAAGTCAATACCCTTTATATATCTATTTCCTCACATATATTTTCAAAAAATATATCTTATCTTTCAATTAGTAAAATTACAGTAATGAAAACATTAACACTAAGGAAATACATCACAAACTTTAAGTTTTAAGAGCATAAGAAACTGGGGTAACTTTTTGGAAATTATATTTAGATCCAAAATATAAATTTTAAAAAATAAAAAAGAAATCACAGATATGTTTTCAACAATCATTTTCTTAAGACAATAACTTATACAAATAAACAACAATGGTTAGTTTTACAAAATAATAAGGAAGATATACAATTCACAATAAAAAATAATTTAAAAAATATAATAAATACTCCAAAACTTATTAATATTAAAACTATCACATGAAAAACTTGTGGAAGTTTTGAAATTACAGAAGACAAATCACAATTCACTAAAATATTGGTTATAAATACGAAAAAAAACAAAAACAATAAACCATTTTTCATGAATCAAGAAAAATGCTAAAACAAAATAAACAATATTATAATCTGTTTGAAAATAATAAAGAATTGGATCTTAAAATACATTTTTTTATTATTCAATATTACTAAAAAAAGAATTTATTCACGCAAGTCAAAAATATTTTTCAGCACCATAAAATATTGTATATTTGTCATTATAATAATACTTATACCAAAATTATTATCATTACACCCTCAAATCCAAAAGAAAGTGACCTTAATCAGATAAAGCATCACTCATTAAACTAATGTTAGTTGTTTCATTATATTTGATTGAAAAAGATGGTTCAAATTAAGTTATAATTAGACATCTTTGTATCAATTACTTACATGAATAAATGTACCATTTTAATTATTCTGCTTACAATATACAGATATAGTTGTATTAAAAATATCTGATTATTCAAAAATAATATTTAAAACTCATAAAAACAAATAATCTGAGGTAAAACAGTAAAAATGTGACTTAAATATGAACTACAATCTAATAAAGAGTAGGAAATTTAAAACCAATACTATCACTCCTTGGTTTGTTTCCTCTGCAAACATATTCTGAAAGAAAACAGACAACATTAATTAAATTATCAACAATATAACTTATTAAAATAATACTGTTACTAGTTCAAAATTTAAATAAATTCAATATATCAGAAAATGCTTGTTATTGTTCTGTTACAAAACTATTATCTTTTTGGCAGTTCTTTAAAAATAGGAATTGTAGCCTCTTGTATAAAGGAATTAGCAGCATTTTAAGCTTTTTAAAAACAAAGTATTGTAAAGTACACTGACAGGCAAAAAATTCCACCCACTTGATTTTCCATGTTTTCATCTAAAAATATTTCTGCTTTGGATTGGTTTATTGTTTTTAATGAATAAATAGGTAATCTTTTTGTTTGTTTTCAATTAGGAATGTTAATATAGAGGACAATAACCCTTAATCCTTAATTCAATGAAATGATTCTAGATTCCAATGTTTACTTTCTATGGAATCAAAATGTTTATTCAGTATCATTAGTTCAGTGCCGTTTCTTGCAGCACATTTCTTAGTCTCCGGCTTTTAATTTTTTCAATATTAAGTTTAAAAATGCCTCTTAGTGCTGAGGATGTTGCGCGTGGTGTGGCACTTATTGATGATGGACGTTCCATTAGATATGCAGCTAATGCCATCGGAATTCCATATGAAACTTTACGAGACGCTGTCAGGCGTTTTGGGGAAACTGGTTCTTACAATAGAAGGCCCGGTTCTGGACGGCCTAGGGTAACAGAACCACGGGTTGACCGGTTTTTGATTTTGAGAATTTTACGAAACCGGCACCTTACCGTTGTTCAAGCGATTCATCAGCTCGAAGAAGTTCGAGGTGTGCAAATTTCTGAACGTACCGCTCGGAGAAGATTAAATGAGTATGGATTAATGGCTTTCCGTTCAGTAAAAGAGGACCAGAGTTGACCAGACCTCACAGAGTACCATGGCTGGCTTTTGCTCGAGAACACAGCCATTGGACTATGGACGAATGGAGTGCTGTACTTTTTACAGATGAGTCAAGATTCGCTCTTCGATCTCCAGATGGGTGTGGAGAAGAAGAAACGAAAGATATGCAGCCTGTAATTTTTCCCAGAGCCAACTTTTCCAACTTGGTTCCTTAATGGTGTGGGCTGGGATTTCAATGGAGCGCCACACAGAATTGGTTGTTGTTCGTGGAGGGTCTTTGTTGGCCATTCGCTATGTAAATGAGATTTTGGAACCTTAAGTGTTGCCTATCCTCAACGAAATCGGCGATCGTTCTGTTCTAATACACGAAAATGCACGCTTGCATAGTGCAGACGTTCCTTTCAACAGAACAATATTGAGGTTTTAGCCAGGCCAGCACGTTCTCCAGATTTGAACCCCATTGAGCATTTATGGGATAATCTCGGAAGACGAATAAGAGTGCGTGCAACACTTCCTGATACCCTGCAGGATCTTGAAAGGGCTCTTCGGGAGGAATGGGCTATCCTCCAGCAAAGAGGGACATTTCCCGACTGTTGGAAAGTATGCCGAGGCATCTTCAAGAAGTAGTGAAGGCAAGAGGAGGAAACACGTGCTACTAAACGATGATGTAATTAATTTCTTTTAGAATAATAATGGTTCGTTTTTCAATTTTTTTTTCTCTAATCTATCTTACCCAATTACATTTTGATTATTAAAGGTAAAAAAGATTATAAAATTCCATAAATACTAAGTATTATCTACAAATACCATGTATTATATACAAATACAACTTTACAGAAATATTTTTAGATGAAAACATGGAAAAATCAAGTGGGTGGAATTTTTTGCCTGTCAGTGTATATTGGAACCTAAGCATAAAATGATGAATTAATGGAAGAAATTAGATGGCTATTCAATGCTAAAGTGTGTGAACTTTATTCGATAAATATTTTTGAGGTAATTACATTCCAGCATATAAAATGGCATGTAAAATTGTTAAGGTTAGTAACAAAAAAATCTCTAAAAGGTTAATATAAAATGTGCCGAAAGGTAAGCATCCATGGGGTAGACCAATGGGAAGGTGAGAGGATTATATTAAGACTGATCTAGTAGGGTTGGGTTAGAAATATGGTAGGTAGGTGAAAGTATATAGACAGCGGTAGCTGGTATACACATGGCAGCGGCATGGCCGAGCGGGCTGATGGAAGATAATTGGAAGATAATAAGTAATTACGAGTTTGTGTCCCAATGCAAGGGGGTGTTTTTAACTCAGGCATTAATTGATAAAAAATATTAAATAAAACAAAAATACCTGTTAAAAGACCAACAGTATTATAAGCTTGCAGTATCTTATATTTTGATTTAGCTTCAACATGGCCCAAATCTGAGGCCATTTTGTACAATTCTAAAACTAGGTAGGGCTGTAGTGAATCATCTATTAACAGTTAAAGTAAAATCAACAAGACAGTAAATAAGGCAAATAAATTGCAATAAATATTTATAAAAATTCAAATGTGATAATATTAATCAAAATTAAAACTTACCACATGGACTATTTTCATAAGATGATGCCAGCTTAAAAAGTTCTTCTGGGTCATTACTAATGTCTTCTAAAGTAGACCTAGAATCCATGAAGCCCCAGTCTTTAGGAATAGCTATGAACAAAGTTTTAGGCCATTAATTATTAATAATAGTAATCAAATGTTAATAATATAAATGTTATAAACATAAAAATTCTCCTTCCTGCACTTGTTAAAATACATAAGGATCTTAATCACATCACATGGATATAAGCAATTGAGATTCTGTTATTTTTCTTCATTTTTGCATTTCAACTAAATAACCAATCCTTAACTGGTTTAATTTTAATTTTAGCTTAAAAGCTAATTTAAAGCTTTAATTAATTTTTTTTTTTTAATTTAAAAATGAAAAACAATTTAACCAACCTGGAGGGGAGGCAGGTGGAGATCCATCCTTTGTTCTTCCAAGAGCAGCCAGAGCGTTTTCTTGTCCAAGATTCGCTGCAGCTTCCAGCCACTGCTTTGCTTTCTCGTTACTAGCTTCAAGGCCTCCCCATCCATGGGCATAGAAGACACCCAAATTGTACATAGCAGTAGCGTGTCCTTTTTCTGCTGCTTTCTTGTACCACTTCGCAGCCTAACAATTGGTCAAAACAATTATAGAAAACTAAGTAATACGAAAAAATATTGTAGAATTTTAATGATTATTATTTTTTTTTTTTTTTATTTGTTTATTTAGAAATATTACATTCTGTCACATCAAGGACATTTATAATAGTGTTCAGAGAAAGCACACTCACACTCTATTTACAATAAAAAAATAAAATAAAATAATACAGAAACTTAATAATAATAAATACAATAAATAAAATAAAAATAAATACAATAAAATAAAATAAATGTATATAAACAAAAGAACTAACCTAATCATACACACTCGGGCTTGAGTGGAGGATCTGGCCATTGCCAAAACTCCAATAGATGCTTATTTACAAAAGGTCTCTGGGCCACTGCCGCTTCAACCTTCGAGGAGGATTGTAAGGATGGGTGGTGCTGAATAGAGATTGTGCAAGGGGATTTGGATGATAGGTAAGGTTCTGGTGAAATTTGGAGAATTTTTCTGGAATAAGGTCTAGGACAAATGGGATATTAAGGTCATGGTGTAGGATTTTGTTATTTACATAGAACGGAGCATCAACTATTGTTCGAAGGACTTTAGATTGAAAGGATTGAATACGTTTGATGTTAGAAGCTTTTGCTGTACCCCACAGTTCAAGTCCGTATGTCCATATAGGTTTCAGTATTGTCTTGTAGATAAGTAATTTGTTTTCAATAGAAAGTTTGGATTTTCTGTTTAGTAGTCTGTATAGCTGGCCGTATCGTCGGTTGAGTTCTTGTCTTTTGAGTCTAGTATGTGGGTTCCACGTCAGTCTTCGGTCTAAATGAAAGCCAAGATACCGGACTGTGTCTGAGTAAGGAAGCTGGATGGAATTAAAGTGTACTGGTGGACAGGAACTGCGTCGGAGTGTAAAGGTAATGTGTTGGCATTTAGATTCATTAACTTTAATGCGCCAGTTATTACACCAGTGCTCAATCAAGGTGAGGTGGTTTTGGAGATTTAAGGATGCTATGTTGGGATCTGAGTCGGATGATAGAATAGCGGTGTCATCAGCAAAAGTTGCCAGGAAGGTATCGGGATGGACAGGGATATCGGCGGTAAAGAGGATGTAAAGGACGGGACCCAATACGCTACCTTGAGGAACACCTGCCTCAATTGGATAGCAATGCGAAAATTCAGTACCGCAACGAACTCGGAAGGTACGATCTGAGAGGTAGGAACGGAGAACAAGGTACAAGGACTGAGGAAGATAGTTTTTCAGCTTGGAAAGAAGCCCGGCGTGCCATACCCGGTCGAAAGCTTGAGCTATGTCCAGAAATGCACCCGAGCAATATTGCTTGCTTTCCAATGCTGCGGAAATATGATCAACCACTCGGAGTCCTTGTTGGAGGATAGAATCCCTAGAGGGATTCTATAAAGGGTAGGATGCGTTTTAGGAGGATCTTTTCAAAGATTTTTGAGAGAATAGGAAGAAGGCTAATTGGTCTGTAGGACGTTGAGGTGTTGGGAGGTTTGCCTGGTTTCGGAAACAGGATAATAGTGGAATGTTTCCACAAAAGAGGAAAGTGGGTGGTTCGTAGGATGCTATTGTATATGTATGTAAGGAATATGACAGCTTTAGGAGGGAGTTGTCTAAGGATCTGAGAGGTAAGCAGGTCGTATCCAGGTGATTTACGGGTAGGTAGTTTTTGTAAAAGGAATTTGACCTCAGAAGGATTAACTGCTTTAGGCGGTAAGGAGAGTGGGATGGGTGAATTAAGGAATTCCTCTACTGCTGACGTGTGGGTGGGATTGGATTCTGGATGAGAGGTGAATGTAAGGGAAAGGTTTTTGGCGAATTCTTCGGCTCTATCTTCGTCAGATGCTGCCCAAGAGCCATCACCTCGACGGAGAGGATGTGATATGTGATGGGGTTTTAGGATATGTTTGGTGGTCTTCCATAGGGAATTGTCATGAGAAGAGAGGGAAGTGAGGTAGGAGTTGAAGGATTGGGATCTGAAGGTGGCCAATTCTATCTTTAGTTTTTTGCAAAAATAATTATAGGATTGGCGATCGGTGGGGTGTCTAGTACGTTGCCATAATAATCTGGCACGGCGTTTGGTATGGATTAGGTCTATGAGGTGTTGAGGTAACTTATTTTTCTTAGGAGTTCTTGAGGAGTGGTTTGGAAAGGAAGCAGTCCAGATTGCTTGTTGGATATTGGTGGTAAAAAAGAGTGGTGGTAAAAAAGGATAATGATTATTATTAAATTTAATAATGATAATTATTAAATGAAATAAAGTAAACTTTTATTACAATGAATTTAAAGGGACCTTAAAATATTATATTATAACTAAGTTCATAATATCCGAATAAAAACAAAAATAACTTACTTATAGTCTACTGTAGATTATTTTTTTATAAAATTAGAACCGCATATGTACATTTAGTATAACTTTATTTATTAAAACCTTCACTGGTCACACGTGTATCAATTATAATATTTTTTGTTTAGGTTGATAATGTAAACTTTTCAATTGTATGCTTCTTCACAATGTTTTTTTTTTTTTTATTATTATCTTTAATTCAACATCTTAAGATATTATTGATTTAATTATCAAGGAATATCATGTTTTGTTTCTTTTTTTACATATTTAACCAACTAAGAATATTTTAAAAGCATCGACACATTATGTTACTTTTACTTGAGTGATATGAAACTGAACTGATAATTTCTGATTAGTAGCACAGCTTCAAAACTTTTGAAGAAATAGGATTTCTTAAATACCAGATAAAACAGATAGGAAGAAAAAAACGTTCTAAAGGTTGATGTAATCAACTAATCATTCTCATTAAATCATAACGAAGGTAGCTAATAACAATAAAAAATATATAAATAATCAGTAAGTCTTAAGTGACTCGATAAAATTGAAATATAAGGTTCTCGCAAACTCTGACAATGTGATAAGGAATGAATGATTGATATAGCATTTCTAATTCGTTAAAATTAAGGTGCTATAGGAGAATCAATACATTTTTAAAAGTAGATTCGATTCACTTTAAAGAAGAGTTTGGAGTAATGAGAATTTACTGTATACAGTTTAAAGCAGAGTATAACATTAACATTGAATTAAATTAATGAATTTATAAATTAAAATAGAGGAACTCAATATTTAAGATAACCTTCTTAAAATGACAAAAAATTACATGTAAATATTATTTATTTGAATGTATTAATAAGACATTGAACTATTTATGCATCATAAAAAAGAAAGAAATGGATTTACTGTTATATTACAAAATTATAAATAAGTACCATTTGATAATCGTGGAAAGAAAAGATGTTTAACAATGATTATGAAAGATTTTGTTGAAGGACAAATGTTTTTGGTTAATTGTTATACGGCAATATTTCTCAGTACAATCAGCATTGATGAAATGAATATAAGTTAACAGCAAACGAGAATTATAGTTCATCAATGGTAACAATAATATGTATAATATAAATGATTCTCCAATTCCAAAACAAATTTTATAAGTATAGACAGCTTGACATGTGCAAATGTATAATTAACACAATATCTTTAATTAACTAAATGTGTTGCAACTTACCTCTGCAAAATTTTGTTTCGTTCCAACACCTTGTTCATAACATTGTCCAAGATTGTAAAAAGCTGGAAGGTATCCTCGATTTGAGGCAGCTCGAAAATATTTTATTGCTTTCGTTGTATTTCGTTTGGGTCCTTCGATCAAATCAATACCTTTCCGATTTTCTATTTCCCCAAATATGTCATTGTGAACCTTTTCAAAATTTCCAGCAGCTTCTTCAAAAGCCTGTAGATAAAAACACATTAAAATTTACAATCAAATAATTATTTTTCACCCAAATAAAAATAAAAGTTAAAAAAAATATATGATATAAAATAAAATAGACAGTAAGACAAAAAAAAAAAAAAAATTCCAAATAGGATGAATCTGCATAGATGGAAAATCGTTTCCGAGAGTAGACAGATTCAAATACCTCGGCTTCACAGTAACCTGAATAAATGACCAACTACCTGAGATAGACCAGCATATAACAAGCAAAAAACTTTCTTCTCTCTTTCTAGGGAAGTGAAATCAAGGGTGTACAATGATGTAATAAAGCCAACACTGAAATAGTTGCGAGACCTGTACACTAACCAGCACTTGCAAAATAGATTTAAGAGTAAAGGCCTTTGCACTATAACTGCAGGGATCTGGGATCAAACTTCTAATGCATTAAGGAGAAAGATCAAAAAAGAGCTGCTTACAGAAACTGGATCATGATATGAAGGCAAAGAGGTTAAGAAGGACACTGCATGTAGCCGAAGTAATTCATGAGAAAATCTTTACACATAATGAACGCCATAATAACAGACAAGGCAACAGGTAGGATGGTTTAGACCAGTGGTCACAAACTTTTTGGCCCATGGGCCACATTGAAACCTCCAATAACACCCGCGGACCATGGACTGTGGAGGGAAAAAAAAAATGATTCAATAAATGACAATTCAGTTGTGATATGAGTTTTCTAAGAGAAACAACTCAAGCAATAAATGTTTTAATAACCTTGTGTTTTGAGTAATTTGCTAAATTGTATACATTTAAATAGTTTTAAAAATTTTACAATGTAATTAAAGAAGCTTTCGCGGGCTGGATTGGAGGAGCTGGCGGGCCAGATGCAGCCCGTAGTTTGGAAACTCCTGGTTTAGAGGGCCAAATTTCTACATGGTCTATAAAGCCAACAGAAAGTAAGAACAACATATTACTGATCAATTAAATATTGCTAAACTTGTCATTTGCCTGAAAATTACCAGAAATGTTTAAGTTATAAATATGCAGGTCTATAATACAAATCTGTCAACATTACATTAAGATGTCTCTACTTAAAAGATGTAAACATAAAAGAAATGAATACTCTTTACGAAAGCGATGACTATACTTTAAAAGTGTTGTTAAATTTCTTAAACTAATTACAAAAGAAGGCTTACTTGTGCTGCAGTGACAGGACCAAAAGCAGGTCCATCTTCAATAGCATCATTTGAAAGGTTTACAGGTTTAAGTCCTTGTTGGGGAGGTTGGGCTACAGCAACTTTTGACCATAGTTGAAATCGCTTAGCTCGTTTAGAAAATGGACAATGATGGTGCCTCTTTTTAAACCAAGCACAAGGTTGTGAAAGTACCCAACCAAGAGCTAGAGCACTGCTCTGAAATTACAATCTACCATTAAACATAAAGTTAGCATGTAGAAGAGGAATGTCATATTTGAAAGACAAAACAAAATATCTCATATATCTTATTTTAAAAATAGTATTTATGCAATAAATGGAACTTTTTAAGCTTGATTTAAAATTAATATGGCTTTATAACAAAAATAAAAACTTATTCAATAATATGACAATCCAGGATTAATGCTCATAAAAGTTATTTTTATTTATTTATTTATCCTATGCCCACCCTTGGTATATTTGCCATTTGTTACTGTAAAGTCCAATAAATGTTGGATATCCTAAGTTTTAATAAAAGTTGTTAACAGAATAAAGTTCTTTTTAACAACCAATTCTAATCTCCTTATGAACTTAATATTGGAATAAATTATTTCTAAGCATAAAATGATGCTATTTTCTATGTTAAAAACAATTAAGTGACATTCCTTTGTCTTTAAATTTTAAAAACTTGATTTAATAAACTATTACAAAAGTCTCATATTAATTAAATATAAGATAGGTAGATAATGATAATATTTTATAATTTATATAGTTTTTAAAACATTTTGTAATTTGTTATTGGAAATCCTGCAGCAGTTTCTCAAAAATATATCATGTTTGATATAAACAGACAATATTATTAGAGCCTACAGCATATTGCATAAGATTTAGATTATTGAATTTTGATGGTGAGTCTCTTTTTTCAAGCCCCCACCAGTTTCTTTTATTAATATCAGTGAATTTAAAATAATACAATATAGTATTTATATTATTGTTCATATGATCGAATTAATCTTGATATATTTTTCATTTATTATAACTCCATTTCATTTGCATGAGCATTAAGAAAACGGTGAAAAACAATTAGATTTTTACAATAAAAAGGACTCAATCGTCAGGAAAGAATATGTACAATGTAGAACAGGTACATTGACACTAATGGGTCTTTGGAGGAATACCAAAAGAAACAACAGAATGGTTCATATATACTGTTTCTGAGCAAAATGTAAAAATGTTACTGCACTGTAGAAAAGAATCAATCCTACCAGGTGCTCTAATACTTTCTGATCTATGGAAAGCCTATTCAACTATAGATAAATTAGAAGGATACAGTTATCAACATTTGATGATAAATTATTCTAATAATTTTATATATCCCATTATCGGCACACATAGAAATAGAAATAGAAATAGAAAAATAACTTTATTCTGGGACACAGTCCCTTGAGAATAACAAATTAGAACAAAATTAAAATATTACATCTGGCCAAAACAAAATAAATCGAAAAAAAGAAATAATGTAAAAAAAATATAAGGTAAAAACTCTATATACAAAACAAACTAAACTATATACAAAACCATTAATACTATTACAAGAAACTTAAAGCTATTTAGACCAGTATACACTTTTCCGAAAAAAATAAAGAATTAAAAAATAAAAATATATCAAATTCTCTATTAAAATCCGCTCGAATGGTTAGCAAGTATCTGACTGTTTTTGTGATAGGAATTGGAATAGGAGGGATTTGAATGTGGATATGGAGGGGGAATGTCGAATTTTGATAGGGAGGGAATTCCAGAAATTGACAGAGCGAACAATAAAGGAATTTTGGAATGAGGCAGATCTGTGAGAAGGCATGTAAAGGTCAGAAGGTCGAGATCTTGTGGACAGGGAATGGACTGAGGTTTTGAACTGGAGAAGGTTGTAGGCGTAAGAAGGACGATGGTTGTTGATGATTTGGTAGAGGAACGTACCTAGAAAGTATTGTCTTCGGAAGGAGGGGTAGAGCCACCTTAACTCAGTGTAGTGGTGAGAGACATGGGAGTACCTCGGGGCACCAATAACAAATCTTACGCAGCTATTCATTAATCTTTTCAGTCTATCACGGAGCTCCACCGAGAGGCCATCATACACCACACAGCTGTAGTCAAAGTGGGGGAAGATGAGAGAAGAAATTAGGAGTCTACGGATATGTTGAGGTAGGAGATGGCGGAAGCGATGAAATAGTTTAAGGGTAGAGATTGTCCGACGGGAAATGTGAGAAATATGGTTGGTCCAGGAGAGGGTTTGATCTATGAAAAATCCTAAATTTTTAACAGAGGAGTAGAAGGAAATTGGCTGGTCATTAAGGTGTAATATGGGAAAGTCAGTATGGGATCTAATGAGGGGCTTGGAACCAATGACGATGGCCTGAGTTTTGGCAGCATTTAACTTTAAACCATTTACATTTGCCCAGGCATTGATTCGATCAAGATCTTCTTGAATCTTGGCAAATGCCCCCAGTAACTCAGAGGGAGAAAAGGATAGGTAGATCTGGGAATCATCTGCATAAAGGTGATGGGAACAATGGAAAATTGATTTAGGTAGGTCGTTAATGTAGGAGCTGAAAAGGAGAGGAGATATGCTTGAACCCTGGGCAACTCCAGAGGATAAAGAAAGGAAAGCAGATAGTGGTTGGTTGGGTATGGAGACTGCTTGGGTGCGTTGGGAGAGGAAAGATTGGAACCAAGAGATGGAACTATTGGAGAAAGATAATGATTTTAGTTTGTTGAAGAGGATGGAATGGTTGATGGAATCGAAAGCTTTGGAGAAGTCTAGAAGAATAAGGACAGTTAATTTTCTATCATCTATTGCAGATTGAATGTCGTTGGTAATTTTAATTAAGGCAGATTGTGTGGAATAGCCGGGACGGAAACCAGATTGGAGAGGATCAAATTGGTTGGAATTTTCGAGGAACTTGGAGACTTGGGATTGCACCAGTCTTTCAAGAGGCTTTGAGAGGTTAGAAAGAATTGAAATTGGACGGAAATCTTCGGGTGAGGATGGATTAGGCTTTTTATTTAAAGGAAGGACAATGGCTTTTTTCCAAGAGGTAGGGAATACTGAATTCTGAAGGGAGAAATTGTAGATAAAAAGGAGAGCTGGGAGGATTTCAGGTAGACATATTTTTATTAATTTGACAGGAATGCCGTCTGGCCCTATGGAATTGGTGTGGGATTTCATTAACGCGGTTAACAAGTCTGTGGGAGAAATGTCGGAAAAATAAAAGTTATTGTCGTTAAAGGATATCTCTGGAGCAAAGCCAGAAGAGGAAGGTAGAGAAGAGGTATTAGCGACAGATATAAAATAAGAGTTTAAATCATCGGAGGATACAGGATAGGCTGCGGTAGGGGATCTGGAAGGATTACCAATGGAAAGTTTACGAAGCAGTAGCCATTTCGATTTGATATCAGGAGCTGAGGAAAGGGTTTCATGGAAGTAGGAAGTTTTCGCACGCCGGATCCTTGTCTGTGCCAAGTTGCGAAGCACCCTGAACGCTTGGTAGTCATCTGCAAGCCTCGTACGTCTAAAACGTCTTCGGGCAGCGTCGCGCCTCTTCTGCAGATCTTTGATTTCCTGACACATCCAAGGAGCAGGCCGGTGACGAAAGGTAGAGGTTTTGAGGGGAGCATGGGTATTGAGAATATTGAGAAGATTGGTGGTAAGAATGTCAACCATGGAGTCGATGGAAGAGCAAGAATATATTCCGTTCCAGTCTAGGGTTTCTAGGTCAGGTAATATTTTTTCTCGAGTAAGGGAATCTAGGTGACGGAAGGTGATAGTTCGAGGGTGGATTGAAGGAGTTTGGATATTATATGTTATTTGTATAAGATCGTGAGATGATAAGAATGATACTGGCAATTGAGAAGAGGAGAGGAGATTTTGTACAGAGTCTATAATGTAGAAGTCTAACCAAGTGTCTGACCTGCTGGTGTGGTGGGTGGGGGAAAATGGAACTATGAAGAGGTGCAGAGAGAAAATTAGGTTTTCTAGATAGGATTTGTCATTGGAGTTAGAGAGGAAATTGGTATTGAGGTCACCGGAGATGATTATTCTGGGATATAGAGGAACGAAGTTGAATAGGGTTGATTCGAAGGACTGATCAAATGGAACATGGGGAGGACGATATACCACAGTGTAAAGGAGAGGAAGATCCTTACAATGGATTTCTACTAGAAGGTATTCAACCTGAGGATGATCGGAGGGTGGTGAGGAATCGAGGATTCGAGTCTTCAGGCTATTATGGACAAACATGGCTACTCCTCCGCCATTCCGGCTTACCCGATCATGACGGAGGAGGGTGTGATTAGGCAAGGAAACAGAAGAGGAAGGGATGTAAGGTTTAAGCCAAGTTTCCGAGATTGCGATAATATGATAAAAGTTTTGAGTGAAATATTGCAGGAACTCGTCATAGTGGGCAGGGAGGGATTGAGAGTTAACATGACAGGTGATTAGGGTACTAGACATGAGAGGAATTGGGAGGGAAACAGTCAGAGTTTGGTAGAGAAACTCTAAAACAAATAGAAAATACAAAAAGGCGTTTACAATTAATGAAAATAGCAGAAAAGAAAGTGTAAGCAGGAACCAAAAGAAATAAAAAACATATGGTCAATAAAATATAAATTAGTGTGTAAGTGTGAAGAGATATCTCTATGCGTAGAAGTGAAAATGTTCCTTTGTAGATAATTGAGTTCAAAGTTATTTTAATGAGGATGAGGGGTAGACGAATTCTTCGTGGTCAGGCAAATATATCGAGGTCCGAGGCCTGTTCAATCAGAATAACTTTATGCCCGTCCTCCTTTCGACATCGCACCTTTCCAGCGGCAAACCACGTATATTTGATTTTCCCCGCAGCTCTCTTCTGTCGGGCGAGCCAATATAAGTGTCTGTTCGTGGGAGTCATTTCCTCACTCAGATATATCCGGTGACAGTCATTCTCCTGCCAGCCGATATCCCGAGTAGTGAGGTCTCTCTTGACTTTCCTCTTCGTTATTAAGTCGTCCCTGACTGACTGTTTGACAAAGCGCGCGATGACAGGCGGCGGTCGTGGGTCATCTTTTCTACTTCTGCGGCGATGTACTATGTCCAAGTCATCTGTACTGAGCCTGATGCCCAAACTTGCTCCAATGCAGGTCACCAAAGCGGCGGGCGTTTCACCAGTTCGCTCCGGTATCCCTCGGATCTCCAGTGATCTGGATAACAAGCCCTGCTCTGCGTTATTCAGGCGAACCTCCAATTCACCCACTCGAGATTTGAGGGCTTTATTTTCCAGAATAATTTTTTCGAAATTACTGGCTTGACTTTCGAGGTGTTTCTCAATTTTCGATAATTTTTCATTAAGCTCAAAATTGAGCTCTCCATATTTATCGAGGGTTGTTTTTATGTTTTTTATGTCTTCATTGACACTCGAGTCTAAGCGATTTACTGCCGCCAGTATTTCTGAGGCGGACGGCTCAGTGTTAGATTTTTTGGTCTGGTCACAATTAGGGCATACCCAAGTTTTTTTGTGTGCTTTTAAGGCTTCAATTTCTTTTTCACTTAGATTGAGACACCGACCGTGAAAAATAATTTTGCATTTTACACAACAAAGATTGTTTTTATCTTCGCGTGCAATAGTATTATTGCAAATATTACACTGCACCATATTTAATTAGAATAGAACAATTAAAATGTAAATAAATACATATATAACATAAAGAATCACTTTGGTCTATAACCATGAAGGGAATCAAGATTATAGCTGGTACCAAAACAACAATGTTAATAGAATAGAAACACATCTTTATTCTGAGACTAGGTCCCTTAAGAATAACAATATTGTTCAAACCAATTGACAATAAATGTTAGACTTTTATCTGAGCGGTTTTATGTGGCATTAACAACACAAGGGGCAGAATCTTCACAAAGCAATTTTATCAGTTATTGCTTATTTCTGGACATTAGAATATAGGTTGATAAACAAATTTTAATTTTTAAAATCACGTATACTTTTATTTAATTCACTGATATTATTAAAAGTAACTGACAGAGATATGTCTAAAAAAAGATATGATAATTCCAACTGATAACACGACATCTAAGTAAAAGTAAAATGTGTAGAGTTTAAGGGTTTCTTCCCGGATCGTTCAATATAAATTAAAAGTTGAATGGAATATTAAGACAAATTTAGATTTATTACTTACGCAACTGAAGGCACCCAGCAGCCTATCGAATGAATCCTGTGTTCCATATGATTCTTTGTATTTCCTTCCATTTGCACCTTCATTCCATTCACGTTGTCCCTGCCTACAATTCTGTCGTCTGTTACAATGAAAATCTCCAACAGTTAAGGCCCGGATAGGATACGTTCCACAATAAGTTGTCTTTTTTGTTTCCCTATTAACTCTAACATCATTTCTCCCAAGATTTAGCCCTCTTTCAAAGGTCTCTCTTAACCCTCTCTGTATAAACTTCCACATTATGTCTCCTAATAGTAAATATAAATATTAACATTAAAATATATATCAAACGAGATAATAAAATACTTTGAAAAACAAAAACTTGTTGATTAGAAGATATCAACAACCATTATCATTAATAAAAACTATAATAAATAAAAGAACAAGCAATTATCTAACCTTGAAAATGTTTGAAATAAGTTTCGTGAAATTACTGTATATTAAGTTTCAAATATTTTATGGTTAAAACTCCTGGAATAGTGGATTGTGAAGATTTCAGCAAACATCGCAGTTCTAACCCCCTGGTCCTTAAGTGTTGAAGGTGGACAACTTCAACAGACAACGATGTTGATCTAGGTCAGGCGCACACTGCGACTAAACCCGCACTACCCGTCAGTCAATGGTGCTGCATTCTGGTATCACAAATAAAAACTCAAATTATATGAACAATAAATGAAGTATTGAACAACAATTTAACTTCAATTAAAGCTGTATTTTAAAAAAAGGTATAATATTTCATTAAGGTTCTCAAAAATAAACTTTATCTAAATAGTCTAAAGGAGTCATTTACTTATATATTTTTAAATTTAATACCAGCATCTAATATTTAATATTGAATGAGCTGAATAAATGCCAGTAGTTTCTATGCTTAATCAAAACTGATTTATATTTGGGGAAGAATGACATATTGGGAGATGTTCAAAAGCACTGGTTACGAAATAATTATGAAACTACTCTATTTTAGTATATTCAAGTTTTAGACTTATTAGGACTTAAAACATTAATAGGAATTAACAACATTTAAAACTTTTTCTTCCTAGACTTTGTATAAAGTATATGTTCATTATCAATTGAAGTTGCCTTAGTGAAATTCATAATAAAAAAAATACAATCTTCTCTTACTAAAATTGTATTTGTAAAAACCTAGATGTTGTGAATAAACTATTATTAATTAACTCTTTATAATTCAAGTAAATTATTATATTTATAATTCCAAATTATTATTTATTAAAATTATAAACTAAAACCACAGTAATGAAGTTACAATTAACATAGTAGATAGTTACACACTCAAATAAAAAATATTAAATAAAGTTCTTTAGTTGTAGAAAATTTACATAAAATATTTACTAACCTATAGAAATTGTTTTGATTGTCTAAAGGCACTTTCAAGTCTACATTTTGCTTAAAGAAAAACTTCCCACAACTGTAAAACATCAAACTACATTGCACACAGTTCAACACTGCCTTAGAAAAAAAGAAGCCCAATTTTTGCTCTTAAACAAACCATTTGTTTACCTTGACATTTTATCTAATCTAAATTTCCCATGTAATAATGTCTTCAGCGTGTTGATGTTATTAAAAGTGTTGTCCCTTTCTTTTGTTCTCTATTTTTTTAAATGTAGCCACATAGGTATTATTCTTCAAATTAATATTTAGTTGATGATAAATTAACTACCTAAAAATAAATAATTTCAGTGTTTGTTTTTTTCATGGATCATGCTATTACAATAAATCATAAGTTCAGACTTTTTTTTCATTGAATAATCTTTATCTTGCACTTAACACAAATTTCTTATTACTAAGTAAATTGTTTATGTGTGTAAATATGTTTCTATATGCATAGATAAACAGGTAGTTGATAAAATATTGTATCATATGCATTAATCTCCAAATTTAAAATATATTTTATATAATATAGTGTTTATTGCAAAAAGTTATTCAGTAACAATTCCTAAAATTAAATCTCAGAATTCCCTGAAGATTATCCCTTCTGTGAAATCAGGACATTGTGTTCTCAATGTAAATATTTTTGATACATGATAGGGTTTATTTAATTTTGATTCATACTTAAATTGTTGATTCACAGATAAGAAAGAAATTCTCAAACAATTTCCTTAAAAATTTATCAAACATGCATTTTAGGTAGCCTGAAACATGATCTGCCTTGAACTCCGAATGATCTAGGTACACTAATAGGGTATAATCCTAATATTCTTCTTCAAATGGGTGGCTTCGCCAAATGGCTTGAGTCTGGAAAGGTGAGGGAAATGATTGTACAGACAAAGAAATGGTACTGTTTCAGCTAATGAGGGTATAAATATAAATGAAATTAATAGTCAATTTTTTTGTTGTCAAAATTGTGAATTTATTAAATTAACTTATCTTTGCACAGAGTATTAATTGATACATCAAAAGATATATTGGTAATAACGCCTAAAGTTAATTGTGATTGTAGAAACTTTACAGGATTACAATAATAATATCTAATAACATAATATGAAATAAGATGATATGAAAATTAAAAATTGTAGAACAGCTCAGGGGTGCCCATCCCCCTCCCCAAGGTTGATGGCACATGAACTTCCCCCTCCCTTCCAAGAAATGTTTTGGCCCTCTCTTAATAAAAACAGTACAAGTGAAAGTAGAATAAGAAAAAGCGTAGATCATATACAATTACACTTGCAATGGTCTGGTCCATGTTTTTCCTTTGTTCCCTGGATTGAAATTTTTTCATTCCCAAAAATCATATACCTGTCGAAAAGTGCCCTCTCAAAAATTCAAAATCTAGTAAATGAACCAACTTAATCTAAAGGCATTTAGAAGTACCTCTTGAATGCATAGGAGCCAGGAGTGGGAGAAAGGGGAGGCACTTCCTACCCCCTCTCCCAATATTTTATGAAGGGGTCAGAGTTTCACATACTTTTCAAAATTTCACAATCATTTGCTTAAAAAATAATTTACAGAATAAACAGAAGAGTTTAATAAACCATAAAAGTAGTAATCATATTAGATTACAGTTAATTAATTACCTGTAATTCAGTTTATTAACTAATGACTGCATTACTTTATACATGTCTTTCTAACTTTGTCCCTCCACTCAAAATTTCTGCAGTGTCATCGCTAATGCTCAAATGTAAAAAAAGTACATAATAATCCAACTGTATAGAACACCCATTTATTTTCTGCACGCCTCAATTCACTTAGAATACTAAACCAAGCTTCACTTCTGTTCAGCAAATGTTTGTTTCCCTGTTTCTATACTATCCTTTAATTTTTGAAATGAATATTTCATTTAATATTTAATTGAAATAAGAAATTGAAAGTTAATCAGGGACTGCTGGCAAGATTTAATAACCTAGTTACTTATAATAAAATTGACTGATCATTTTAGGTTTATCCAAAAGAAATCGGTGAATTTCGTACTTTGGGGATTAATAGACTTAAAAAAGTTGCGTATAAAAATTTCACAAACTATGGTGAAAATAAATATCTAATTGATTGTTTCCTAATGCTAGTGTTTTGTTTCTTGTTTTTATGTTTTCTGTCTGCTGTCAGAAGTGAAGTGAAACAAAAATTTGTCTTAGTGTTAAGGTCGCTGAGAGCTAAGCTTGATAATTGTGTTTCCCCTAGAAATGAGTAAACAAACCTTAAAATATAAATCACAAACCATATTATGTCTGAGTCGGAACATTGGGCATTGACAAAAACCAATGAACAAACACTTCTCATTAATTTAAGGATGATTCTTCAATGCATTTATGCCTGAAGAAATTATGCATATTTTTATACCTTAACAGAGCGAAATAGATTGGATGCTAGACCAAAATCAGTCAACACGAAACAAAACAAAACTAAAAATGAAAAATGACAGAGGGAATTGTGACGGCGAATTGAAGAGATCATAATGAGATTCGTGGAGACCTTGACTCAACGATGAGTTGTTGATCAAACAAACAGTAAAACCAGTTTATGCTTGTGAACTAAATATTTGCTGTTTCATTGATTGGTGGACGAGTATGGGTCAATTTTTTCAATAAAATGCAGGAAAAACAAAGACTATAGTCAACAAATGATAGGAGATCCCACATGATTGATTATCAGATGATAATAAAAATTAGAAGAAATGTTAATATTACAAGATTAATATTTATCGGATGTTCATGTTAATGAACCATCATACTCGCCTGAAAAATATTTATATATATGTATTATAAGTAAAAATACTTATTTTATTGTGTGCCAACGTTTCGACCCATTTAGCATGTCTTTATCAGGACTGTCTGAAGATAACGAATGATATTGATTAGTCTCTCGTCATAGCTCTTCCGTCAACAGGCCCGACGATAGTGGGGGGGGAGGGGATTAGCCGGGGTCGCAGCCCCGTGGCTTGGACTCCCAGAATGGGGTCTAGAAGGTTATATTAAAATAATATAGAGATATCACCATATATATTATATAATAATAATGTAATATCTTTACATAATATTTTTGTTTTATTCATTGTAAAGGACGAAGTTGATTTTTCGTAATTAATAGTCCGTGGTACAGACCTCTTTTTATCAAATTATTAACAACCGTCTACAACTTCGCGAATGACTTCATTTACCGTAAACTACAACTTTTTTGTTTATGAAAATTCTCGGAAATGGGATGTTTTGATTAATAAAGTAGTAAAAAGGCTTGAGCATCCGTTCGCTTTTCACTTTAATCGCAAAATAATTTCATAACAAAATCGAGAAAAAATATTGAGCCGTTTGACGTGACCTCCACTCCCAAAATAACGAGGTTAAATAGGTAAAACGATCTAATATTTGATCATATTATCTAAGTGAAAAGCAAATGTCGGTATGCACTAGTTTTCAGTAACTCATTAAATTCATTAATTTAATGAGAAAACGTCCCATTTCTGAGAATTTTCGTAAATAAAAAAGTTGTATGGTAAGATAAGACGAAGTTTTAGAAGGATGGTAATAATTTGATAAGGACTTTTGCTTTTAGACCGCGGGCCGAAATACAATATTTGAAGGAGGTTCGAGAACATTCTCCCTGATCGGTCAATTGGATTCGAATTTATTATTATCTATTATTGTAAATATGTAATAGATTTTAATTTCAATTATAGATAATAGATCTACCAATTCCCATTTCTAACAAACAATATTCCAAGAAAAGTAAGTGGCATGGGCTTGTTCCTAAACTCTTCGCTGAGCTCATCGATATCATTCTTTCGCGCTGTT